GGTGAGAGAAGAGACATGTGCAGCTGCACTAGACTTAGAGAATGCGTACAATAGAGTTTCATTTAAATACTTGGTGCACATACTTCTCCAACTGCAAGTACCCCCCTTCATCACCCACTGGGTAGCCGCAGCACTGTTTCAGAGACGGGTGATACTCGGGTGTGGTTGTTGGTCCTCAGAACCGATAACCATCAGTCCAGGATTGCCTCAAGGTTCTCCACTGTCTCCAGTTATATTCAGTGTTACACAGTGCTGATAACTGAGCAGCAATGGCACAGGAGTGGCAGGAACTTGTCATTTGCTGATGACATCTTGGTATACCGACATGGGAGAGATCGTCAAAAGATTACCAGCTCAATTCAGAGTGAACTTGATCGCATCTCCTCCTGGTGTGCAGATTCTAATGCTCATGTCAACCCTTTGAAGGCCTCAGTAACGTGGTTCTCCTTGAACAGGCATAAAGTAAAGACAGACTTACCAGCAGCGGGGACATTTTGACGAGAACAAATCTGATGACATACCTCAGAGTGAGGTTTGATCGCAACCTGTCCTTCAAAGAACATGTTGACATTGTTATAACAAAAACACGCAAAGGCCTGTCGGCTGTAAGGGTCCTGGCCGCCGCTAATAGAGACTACTTCTACTTCTATTCCAGGGACTTGTACTTTCTCCCATCTAATATGCTCTTGCCATCCTTACTGGCAGCCATACTCAGACTGAAAGACTTGAAGAGGTGCAAAATGAAGCAATCTGCATTATTCTGGGGCGCACTGGAGACACCTCTTGTGTAGCAGTGAGGTACCTTCTTGACTTCCCTGCCATGAACTACAGGATCCAGATCTGAAGGGCTCGTGCATACCTCAAGATAAGCTCATATCTGAAGCACCCTTTGCACTAAGTGCTCGTCAGGAAAAAGTTTAATAAACTTAAAAGGTGCAAATCATGGCTGGGTATGGCATAGGATGACCACATGCATGTCTGAAGCCTTACAGATATCCATCTAGGCGAGGAACAGATACCAGCATGAAAGCGCCCAATTTTACATTGTCCTGTGTCATGACGCTTGATAGGAAGAAGTTGGGAGCAGAATCCCGCTGATGTCAACGCCGAAGTATACGCGCTTATCAGTGACAAGTCAGATAAGACTTGAGATACGTAGACGGGTCCGTTATACGAAGACATAAGAGTGCATGGGCATTTACAGCTCGCTCTTCAGGCAGAACAGTTCAAGTAGCCACTGTTGCCTTCTTCTTGACTACCAGCAGCATGACGATCCAGGTGATGGCGGTGACACAAGCTTTCATGTGGCTAGAATCACAACGAGTATTCTCGCTTGTGTTCGCTGAGTGATTCTTTGAGCACGATCCGACGGGTTGAGGCAGGCTGGCCAAACAGAAAGTGGACTGAGTCATTGTAAAACTCTCATGTGTGTGCAGTTACCTTCATATTTGTCCCAGGATATGCAGGTGTTGTTGGTAATAAAAGAGCTGATAGACTGGCAGGTACCGCATTAAGTGAAGATGGCCGGCCCATGAATAACGCAGACATTGTCAATGCTTAGAGATATAGTACTTTCCGAGGGTTTTTGAAGCAATGTGTCCACATCACTGCTAAGAATACGAGAATTGTGAGTAAAGATCGGCACAGCCAACCATGAGAAGCACACCGGACGCACACGAAGTCTTGTCAACCAGTATAGGACTGGCACAATTACCCGCGCGACGCTGATGAATATGTTGAGAGGTAAATCTGAGCACCTATAGGTGTGTCCGGAGTGCTGTGAAGATAATGCAAATCATAACTTATATTAGTCGGCTCTGTGGCTAAGTCGAAGCGATCGCTTTGTAATGCCAGGATGCTGGGTTCGATCCTAGCTGCGGGTCATGCGCCTTGCGTTGGTTTCGACAGTGGTATCAAGAAAGCCGACAGTCCAGAAAGCAATGGCAAACTACTAGACGTAAATTCGCCTAAAAAAACCACACAACAGACAGGTGCTGTTGGGGTTGGTTCTGCAACGTCCTGTAAAGTTTACGCAACTAACCTAACTTATATTATTTGTGCCGCTGTTGTTAATTTCAGTGCTGCTAAGTTGTATCAACTGCAGCGAGAGTAAAGCTTGTTAAAGTGGTATAAAGAATGTGTGTTGTTTTATGCATGTAAAACATGGACAGTAAGCAGATAAGTTAAATTAGACCTACGGGTGGCGGAAACGGGATTTGTGAGTAGTTAGTTTACAGAACGTAGCAGAACCAACTGCAACAATTGTGTGGCTGTTTGTGATGTCACTAGTCAATTCTACATTCACTCGTTTGCTATGACTGTCTAAATGGCTTTGGATACCACTGTTAAAACCTGCGCAAGGTGGTCTGCTGCCAGATGGCCCGCAGCTGGGATCGAACCTGGCACCTGGGAATTAAGGAAAGCCACAGACACCGACGTTTGAAAAGAATACATAGAATATTGTGGAGTGATAGAGAATCAAATTAGTCCTCCTCGAGACAGTTACAAATGTAACAACTGATTGGAGAAATTAATCAAATATGGTCATTATTTTTTTTACACATTATAAGTAGGAATTAACTCGAGAACTTAGTGACGATTGGGGGAAGTAAAGAGATAAATAACTGGATGTCTGGACCACATGGATCGGCCGTATAAGACCAAAGACATGATCCGGGATTCTGGTGATCGTATTCAATAGCTAATGTTTACCGTCTACGCTTATTTATATGGATAATGCTGATAATGTATCATACAGTTTCAACAGGCCTACTCCATTCTTAGGAAGTCAAATTCACTCCTGGGTTTCTTTTAACATATTTGACTGTTTTCACAACCAGATTTGCTTTTCCCATCACCACTAATCCACGTTCACTATGGCACACTATTTGTGGTAGCTTTCTCTGTTGTGAAAGCATTTCTAGGAATTCTGCTGATGAGGATGTAGTCAGTCTGGTTTCGGATCTCAAGTATTTAAGTAAAGGACCTTTTTCCAACACTAGGCTGATGAAGTCAACATTACACCGCCGCTTCCCCCCCCCTCCCCCTCCCCCTCCCCCCCCTCCCCCCCCCCCCCCCCCCCCCCCATTTAAGACCAAGGTAATATTTTTGACCGGAAAAAAAACTCCAGCTCACCTCAGATTCTTCTCAAGTATTAAATTCACTAAACACAAACTATTGTAAGGTTTCACAGCTAACAGTTGATTGGGGGGGGGGGGAGAGGAAGAGAGAGAGAGAGAGAGAGAGAGAGAGAGAGAGAGAGAGAGAGAGAGAGAGAGAGAGAGAGAGAGACGCTTACAGACACAGCTCAACATTTTCTGCCAAATAAACGAATAAAACAATAACAAGGATACAAAATTAGTCTCTTGTGTTACCATATCCCAGATGGTAAAATATCGATTGTGGCTCCTCCATTGTTCAGTGTGCACAGTGGGGCTTAGGCTCTTCTGCGTGTTATCTCAGAGAGAGAGAGAGACAGACAGACAGACAGACAGACAGACAGGCAGGCAGGCAGGCAGGCAGGCAGGCAGGCAGGCAGGCAGGCAGGCAGGCAGATAGACAGACAGACAGACAGACAGACAGACAGACAGACAGACAGACAGACAGACAGACAGACAGACAGACAGACAGACAGACAGACATACAGACAGACAGACAGACATTTTTACATACATGCATGCCTAAAAACATACACAGACACACGTACATACACACATAAATACACTTATATACACATACACACACTAATAAACATATACGCACATGCATACACTCATATACACTAACGCACATACATACACACATATACACATAATACACTCATATACACATACTTGCATATACACACACTCACATGCATATACCCATATATATATATACACACACACACAAACACACAAACACACATACACGCATACATATGCACACGTACATAAACATACAACAGACACATATACCGCTGAAATACGGAATATTTTACGACCAATCGGCACTAGGTGTGCGATATGGTCAACATCACGCCGGCCGCATTTACTTCCCAGAACTTAATCTGGTACCCACAGAAGGTTGGGTAGACTTGAGAGTCAGTGTGATTTGTGAACGCCATCCTCAAAATCAAGTGCCGCCACTGTCTCCTGTCTGTTCTGAAACCCGCCATAAGCCTCACCAGCTTAAGTGACTGTATTTGACCAGGTACCTTTCCCTGGCCGGTAACTAAAAGCTCTTAGCAGAAGCTCATCCCTTTCCAAAATCCTTTGGAGTTTAATAGCTTTCTTCCCAGCAACTTGCCAAAGGTATTATAGAGTAATAATCATGAAACAGTAAAGTCTCCAATGAAAGATTTAAATGATTGATTTCCTTTAAAAATAAATTAGGGGCGTATCAATTTTCTAACTTTGGTGGCCAACTTTACGATTGGCTGTCTTGAAAGTATTCCTGTCGGAAGTTTGTAATTGCTTTCCGAACAGCACAATGTTCATACCGTTGTCACATTCTGTGCAAAGTGGTATCATGCCCAATCACAAGCAGCTGGCTTCGAACTCCTGGTGTATTGGGATTGTGAAACTGCGTTAATAATCCATAAACACTGTAGTCGGCTTGTATCTACGACGGGATAAAACAGTTTAGTTTCTCAATATAAGCATACTTGCTAACAATTTCCACTGTGTTGGCTTTGCAGCCCCAGTTTGGTGGGTGGAAAAAAAGAACAGTCCTACTTTGCGCTACCAAGTATGTCATACAAGGCAATTTATGAGAAGTTTGCTGAAATCTGATTTGTTAGGCAGCACAATATGCCAAAAGTTTTTTTTAAGGAGGAAGGCATTAGAAGAATAAAACACTTGCTAAAATATTACATCTTTCCTAATTGCTTGACCATGGCGCAATTTTTAGTTTGAGTTTGTAGTTTCAAGCTTTTTTGTTTTGTTTTGTTTAATTTGTTTGTTCTTTAATTGTATCGCACTACATTTATTTTCAGGAGGCAAACCAGTGATCTAAATGCCATGGCAGATTCTAGAGATTTATTCTTGGTGTGTGAACCTGCATGGAAAAAGGTACCAGAAAGGATCGTACGTCAACATTTTCTGTCTGTCGACGACACCAAGCCTCCAAAAGCCAGTTCAGACCCTGGCGGTCTACATATTTGTGTTATTCCAGAAATTACAATTACAGGTGAAGATGAAACCAACAGTGACTGCAAAGCAGAAGCTTCTGTCAGCCCTCTGAGCACATACTTCACGCGGCCCCGTTCAAATACTTGTCCTGAAGAAATGTTCCAAGCTCGCAAAGGAAGGCCACCAACACCTCCACCAGTAGACGTACAAAAAATTCGCAATCACTCTGGTAAACGGTTCTCCTTCAATTTTACGTCTAAAGATATCAACGTCTCCTTTGCTCATCATCGGCTAAGTAAAGTAAAAGAGGAGAAGGCAGACCAACAACAACAACGGACCAGTGGCACGTCTAATGCTTTATCATCTGTTTGTGAAGACTCTAAAGATCAATACAGTTCCTCCAAAGGTTGCCAGAATCAAACTGAAAGCATTAGCAACACAAAGGATCCTCTTTCCAAAAAGACAACTTGCAACAAGATTATTTCTTCTTCCAGTTTTCCGTGCGACTTACATGGCCAGTTGTCCTCAATGTCTAATGAATGCAGCAGCTCGAAGGCATTAAATAATAATGAGATACTTGAAGCTAGCAACCAGGACGATTCTATAGTCAGCAAGTGTCCAACATGATCATGCATATCCAAGATAGATGTCACCGATGACAAGAAAAGTCATAACCAGACAGCTTACTAAGTATCATATCATCTACTACAGCATTTATCCAGCAAGAATCTGACTTGTCATTTACACTTTATGTGTTTAGATAAGTTTCATAATGGCATTACTTTTAGAAGGTAGTTACACATTATTTATCAAATTGTTTTAGCTGCAGACTCTTTCTCACTCACTTACTCACTCACTCACCCAATCACTCACTCTTTCTCTCTCTCTCTCTCTCTCTCTCTCTCTCTCTCTCTCTCTCTCTCTCTCTCTCTCTCTCTCTTTTCTCTCTCTCATTAAACAATTTTCTTCTACCTTTGTGAATGACGTCGGATAAGGTACCGGTGGGCAAATACTGTCACGCCTGTCCTGAGTATTGACCTGCATTCGTTTACAAGGCCATCATTTGAGCCAAACCAACACTCAACGCTTTTTTTTTTTAAACAGTAGTACCATAGTTAACAATGCAGTACCCATCAAATTGAAATTCATATTTCAATGAAATAAAACCAAATTATTTACTGATTTATGTTGGACAAAATTGAGTACATCTTTTTAATTTGTTTTTGTCACAGTAATGATGCTTCCTTATAATGCACACTGGTTATCGTGTGTGTGTGTGCGAGGGTGAGCACACACACACACACACACACACACACACACACAGTATTATATCTTGTCTATTGTCAGTTATTTATTGCACAGATAACTTGTATAGGTAATAAAGCGTTACCCATTATTTCTTAGATAAGGATAAAATAGAATGAAGGGAAAGACTGTGATCAGTGTGTGATACAGTAAAGTAAAATGTCAAGATCCCTTATCATGCCTTTCGGCGTATCATGTATTTTGGAATAGCCCGCCTATTTTTTTACAAACCATCGGCACTAGGGGGTAATGTGGTCAGCATTACGCCGGCCGTCTTTACTTCCCCAGGACAGCCATCCTGGTACCCATTTTAGGCTGGGTCTACCTGCGACGCCCCATACCATGATAACAATCCACGCAGCCAGCAGTGGTTTTTTTTATCTCGCTACGTTGAAATTACGAGTCGAACTCGCAACGTATAAGCCACGGACGCCGTCAGTGTGTGACAGACACAGTGCATATAATGCACAACATAATGTTAAAAGTTAATTACGTTTCCATTACTGACATTGCAGAACTAGCACCGCCATTTTTTGCTGTTTGGCTTTTACGAGGCAATTTTGTGTGTTTGTGTGTGGGTTTGGGAGGGGGAGAGATGGGGGTACAATTTGTGTGTGTGTTCTGTTTGGTTTTACATTAAAAAAAATTTTTCTTTTGTTTGGTTTTAAAAGGCGTTTTCGTTGCTATTTGGTTTTACAAAGAAATTTTACGTTCAGTAGATTGCTGTTGCCTTCTAAACTGTCAGAGCTCCTTAGCATTGTGGAAGCCAACGCAATGCGGTCTACTACCAAATCATATGCAGCTAGAATTGAACTGTATTTAGGAATTGAGATTAAACTATAAATTAGTGAAAAACAGTGTGGATTTATAGAAGGAAAACGTACAAATAATGCCATTTACATCCTCAGGACTCTTTCAGAAAGAGCTATAGAAGTAAAAACGATTTTTACTTATGCATTTAATTGTGTGAAACATGAGAAAATAATTAAATTATTAGAAAAGTTAAACATTGATGGAAATAAAAAGTAAAAGATCCTTTTCACGCCTTGGGCATATGGGAAGAGCATCCTATATTTTTGCAGACCAATCTGTACTAAGCATTACGCCGGCCGTCTTTACTTCCCAAGGACATCCATCTCGATATCCATTTTAAGGCTGGGTCGACCTGCGACGTCCCAAACCATAATAAAAATCCACGCAGCCAGCCGTGGGTTTCGATCGCGGTACGTTGGAGTTTCGAGTCGGACTCGCAACGCCTATGCCACAGACGCCCCAATTAATATAAAAGATTAACGAATTATAAAGAACCCGTATTGGCAGCAAGCAGCACCTATAAGAATTGATAACCATTTGGGAAAATGTCAGACCATAAAGAGATGAGTACGGCAAGGATGTGTACAATCAAGTGATGTGTTTTCATTGTATAGTGAATATATAATAAGATCCATTATGGATATACCAGTAATTGTGGTTGGTGGTCATAACATAAACAACCTGCTTTCTGCTGATGACACCGTCTTAATAGCGACAAGTCAGAAAGAACTACAGGAATTAATTGATACAGCGGTGGTAGAAAGTGATAAAATTGGCCTCAGTTTCAATAATGGGAAGACATAAGTAATGGTGATCTCAAAAAAAAAACAAAAAAAAAAAAAAAGAATAGTGCTAAATATATAATACGAGTCAAAGGCGTTATTTTAGAAAAAAAAAAAGGATATAAATTCAAGTTTCTGGACATATGGATAACATCCGTTGGCAGATAAATCATATAGATAAAGAACACAATTGGACAGGCCAAAACTGCTTATTAAAATATGAAGAACGTTTTGAGCAATAAATCCATGTCATTCGAAGTTAGGAAAAGAATTCTCGCAAGCTATACAGCATCGGTTTCAACTACGGCCGTGAATCCTGGACAATAATAAACAAACTGAACAAAATCTTGAAGTCTCGGATATGTGGTTTTACAGAAGAATCCTTAGAATTCCCTGGACAGCTAAGAAGAGTAACCCAGATGTTTTGAAAGAGGCAGGTGACTGGAGACAACTTATTATAAACATCAGAAAGAGACAGTCATCATTTTTGGTGTTGTTACCACTGGAAAGATTTCTGGAAACAGCGGCAAAGAAAGACAGCGAAAGAAGATTCTTGGCGGCTTTTTGTCATGGCATGGAGGGGTGTCAGCATACGGATCGCAGATTGTGGAGCGGCGTGATCGCCCACGCAAGTCAGCAAGGCACTTAACGATGATGATTTGGGAATTACGAACTACGTTCGAAACTTCTAAGCCATAGACAACACGACAATGATGGTGGCGTACGTACACTAGCTATGTATACCAGCTACAATTATGGTCTCAAAGAATTCTAACAATTATAGTTTCTTTAAGTGTTGAAATCTTGGAGCCATCTGTCTTCTCAACAACAGTTGAAACCTTTATTCAGAAGAGTCGATGAATCAACTGATATATTCTTCGTGATGGTTGACTGCATTGACTCCGTTACTCCGTATCTCTCATCCTTCTTTTTCTCGCTCAAACTGTCTGTGCTTTGTCTACCCCGTCTCTTTATAATTCCATTTGTAGAGAGGTCTCTCTGTTGTTCGCCTGCAATGTTTCCTTCGTTTAGGTTGTTTATTTATTTATTATTATTATTATTTGTGTGTGTGTGTGTGTGTGTGTATGCGTGTGTGTGTGTGTGTGTGTGTGTGTGTGTGTGTGTGTGTGTGTGTGTGTGTGTGTGTGTGTGTGTGTATTTTACTGTGACCGATTTATGTAACATCTCCTGTTAAAGAAAATTTTTAATTAGTGATTTTCCATTCCCAGTTTCTAGAGATTCATGCTGTTTGTTTCCAAGAAATGCGACTGGTCTTCTGTATAACTGCATATTCAATTTGGCACTCTTTAAAATACATCGTCCTTGCCCATACAGAACTTTAGCTTAGACTGGGCTAGTGTAACCGTTACAGTTCCCTAATTTTAAATTTGTTTGTTTTGTTTGTTTGTTTTGGGTAAAGTTTTAACCATGAGATTTATTTGTCGCTAAGCACTATATCAGAATAATGGCAACTCATTTACATGTGAACAATCAGGAAATCTAAATCTTTCATTTCTTCGAGACGACGAATGGCACTTCGTACTTCTGCTGAAGCTGTGGTTGCGTAAACCCAAAAACCACCTGCAACAGTTCTAGAACATCTGTTGCATTTCCAGATGTCAACATCCTTTCCCTTCTGGGCTTCCTTCCCACACAAGGGCCATGTGTGTAGGTGTTGTCTTATGTATGTAAACTATACTCCACCAGGACATCACGATAAACGCCCGGTGAGACAAAGTGCCACCATGCGGATGAGGATCCCCTTGGAGAGGTCCCGGATACCCTGTTCAGCCGATAGACCATATTTCAGGCCTGGTTATATTTAAGGCCTCGGCAAAATCCAGGGTGGAGTTTAAAAAAAAAGGAACAGTTGCATCCCGAAAGGGTATATTTTGTGTTATGTTACCCCCGCCTTTTTGGCAGTCTTTCTAAGTGTGGCACCATATCTGGTACCATACTGATCATCACTGCCGACCTTTTAGGTTCGCTTGGACATTCTTAACTGTGGATTCCGTAATTTTTAACCTCTTGTTATTAAAGGTTTAACATTGTGCTTGCAGTGCAAAACATGGACACTTACTATAACTAATGAGCGAAACATCGTAAAAACAGAGATTATGTGTCTTTAGAGGGGCTGCAAGTGTGACAAGAAGAGATAAAATCAAGAATAAAGAAATTAGAAGACTCGAACAGAAACCAGTCGTACAGTTTATTAAAGAACAAATGAGATGATCTGGCCACCTGGTGAGAATGCCCTGGTACCAACTGCCATAGAGAGCCACGATAAAGAAATAAAATGAACACAGAGCAAGGAAGAGACCACGCAATAGATGGAGCGACATCATCAGGAGTAGTAGTAGTACATTTTACCCCACTAGGACATCAAGGTTAGCTGCGTATTCTTTATAGGGGGTTTCAGAACCAACCCCAATAGCCACTGGCTGTTGTGTGGTTTTTCTAGGCAAATTTACGTCCAGTAGTTTGCCATCGACCCGGCATCCCGGCATTACTAAGCGTTCGCATCGACTTAGCCACAGAGCCGACACTAGGACATCACACAAGCGATAAACACCCGATGACAGAAAGTGCCACCATGTGAATGAGGATCACCCGCAGAGAGGTCCCTTAAACAGCGTTCAGCGATTTGACCATAATAAAGGCCGGGTTATCTCTTTTCTTTATCTTCTTTTATCCCACCAGGACATCACAAAAGCGATAAACACCCGA